AATAATATCAATCATAATCATAATCATAATCATAATCATGTTAATAAAAATAGCAAGATTCTCGGCATGATACTAACAAGATTAATAACAAACCTTAGCATGTCACTAAGCAATAAAAATCAAAGCTTTAGCCCTAACATGATACTAACATGAATAAACATTAAGAAGAGAATAAAAGGCATCATAGGAATCATAATAAGCATATTTAACATTAAAATACCCTAGACATGATACTAGGGATATCATAACAACAATATAAACATGATATCTACATCATAATATCAATAAAATCGATTAAAGTACTTACTTTGATGCCTCGTACCTCTTTCTAATTACAAAATACACACGTTAGTAACTTCAAGGAAAATAATAATCAAAACAATTAAATTAAATAATTGAAATAGAGATTTGGGACCAAACCCTCAGAAATTAAACCTTTCACGCCTAGGGCGAAGGCAACTTCGAATATGGCTAGGTGTTTCTAGATCTTGCGAATGCGGAATTTTGTATGAGAAAAGCAAGAAAGAATTGAATGAAAGAATATTTGAGAATGAGAGAATTGGATGAAGGAAGATGTAGAATGTAGATGATGAATGATGAAATCTGGTGAAATTTTGTATAAGAATTGATGAAATCTGGTGAAATTTTTCAATGAAAACGGAGTTTTTGATATGATATTTATAGAGAAAATCTGCCAAAAAAGATAATTTAACAAAACAGAGTCTGACGCACGCAAAACAAGGTTGGCGCCAACCCTGGCTAGCTGGCGCCATGCACCAGTGGCTAGCGCCAGACGCCAATGGATAGCGCCTGGCGCCAAGGCCTGGGGTTGGACGCCAAACTGGCTTTCAACGCGTTTTCGAAAATCTGATAAATTTACCGTACTGGAAGATAAAATAATATAATTTCTTCGAAAATGCTATTTGATCTTGATTAAAACTCTGAAAAGTCAACAAAGTCAACTTATCAATGCTAATTGAATTAGGAATGAAAAGAACCTTCTAGAAGATTCTAGAAGACTAAAACCATCCCTAATTGCATTAGGAATGATAAATCACATTAGGCCCTCCCCTAGATCATTGGGCCGTACATAAAGCTCAAACCGGGCCCAGTTTAGTAAATTGGCCATAACTTCCTCAATATTCATCGGAATTGGGCTTATAATATATCGTTGGAAAGGTCTTTGCAAGCCCCATCCAACTACACCACTATTGGACCCATATCATGGACCAACCAGACTGGATTGGCTGTTTTCTTAAAATAAAGTTTTCCAAAACAGGGAGAAGAGAAAAGAAATAAAACTTTCCGCAACACTAGACCTTTCCACACTTTCGTTTCATTCGATTATGATTCGACGTGAAAGGTACTCATCACTGGGTTTGGTTTTGGGGAGACACAAATGGGTGTCTACAGGCCCCTAATAATCAAGACTCTGCAATAATATCAAGAGTATATTTTCGTTGGCACAAAAATATGCCTTCCGGACTGCGAGCAACCTCAATACCAAGAAAATATTTCAACACACCCAAATCTTTCATATGAAAGCAGTCACTCAAATACGCCTTAAAAGCAGATATCGTAGAAGCAGAATTGCCAGAAATCAATAAATCATCAACATACACCAGAACACTAAGATGGACATTTCCTTGATTAAGAGTAAACAGGGAATAATCAGAGTATGACTGTTTGAAGCCATACCTTTTGAGCGATCCGACAAGTTTGGCAAACCAACAACCGGGTGCCTGACGGAGACCATAGAGCTACTTCTGAAGACGACACACCATTCCTGGTTTGCTACCATGAAACCCAGGAGGTGGCTTCATATACACCTCCTCATCAAGATCACCATGAAGAAAGGCATTGTGAACATCCATTTGATGCAATTCTCAATTTTTCGCAGCCGTAATCGCTAGGAAAGTCCGAAATGAAACCATTTTAGCCACGGGAGCGAACGTCTCATTGTAGTCAATGCCTTCAACCTGATGATTACCAAGTATGACCAGACGAGCCTTTAATCGTTCAACAATGCCATCTGAATGATACTTGATTTTATAGACCCATCTGCATCCAAGAAGAGCCTTCTTCCCTGGAGGTAACTGTTCCATCACCCAAGTCCTATTGTCTTCCAATGCTGTGATTTCTTTTTGCATTGCCTCTCTCCACCCTGCATCTGTCATAGCCTCTTTGAAATTACGGGGCTCAGTGCCTGCAATTACAGCTGCAAGAAATATACGGTGTCGCAGGGAAAAATTGTCACAATTCACATAATGTGCTATAGGATAAGGAGTACCTGAGGAGCATGGAGCAGGTGAACTAGGAGGACTCGTTGCTTGTACAGTATGTGCTACATAATCCTTATGACAACCTGGTGGACGTCGCACACGACCCCCACGATCAATGTCAAGAGAGAGAAGAACCGCCCTCGCTACTACCCTCGTTGTCATCAGCAGCTTCTGCCCCGCTGCCACCCTCACTGCCAGCAGCAGGGTCTCCACCTTCCGCAGGAGAGCCGCGGTCGGTACTGCCAACAGCAGCAGGCTCTGTTGTGGTCGCTGCAGTGGTCCCCTGTTGTGAGTCATGGCTTGCTTCGCTCACCTCTAAAATCGCTTCCAAATCATCCAAAAAATCAAAGTCGACACCCTCATTACCCACATTCGAATTTTCCATCACAACATTTTTTCCGGAGTCAACATTCAACTCCTTGTCACAAGCAAATGAGAATTCGTTCTCATAAAAATTCACATCACGGGACACAAAAATCTCACCCGTCTCAAGATCATATAATCTCCAACCCCTTTTTCCGTGAGGGTTGCCTAAAAACACACACTTTCGACTTCTAGGTGCAAATTTATCCCCCTTGGATTTTTGATTATGGGCAAAGCAAAGAGAGCCAAAAACACGTAACTCATCAAACATAGGTTATTTACCAAATAAAATCTCATATGGTGTTTTATTTAGTAACAAACGAGAAGGAGTTCGATTAATCAAATAAACCGCCCCATGAATGCACTCTCCCCAAAAACTAATAGGCAAATTCCCTTGAAACATTAAAACCCGCCCCACATTCAAAATATGATGATGCTTACGCTCAACATGACCATTTTGTTGGGGAGTCCCAACACACGAAGTCTGAAAAATAATTCCTTGTTCATTAAAGTATGGGAGCATGCAATTAAATTCAGTACCATTATCACTTCTCACCAATTTGACAGATACACCAAATTGACGGTCTACCATAGCAAGAAAATAACAAAATGCGGAATAAACTTCTGTTTTTGAATTTAATAAATAAATCCAAATACCTCTTGAAAAATCATCAACCAGAGTCAAAAAATAATGTGCACCACAAGTGGAAGGAGTTTTATACGACCCCCATAAATCACAATGAATCAATTCAAAAATACGAGTTGCTAAACTATCACTAGTAGGAAAACTATCCCTATGTTGTTTAGCTTGTGGACACACAGTACAAGTGACAGGGTAAAGTCGTATCCCCTAATCAAAAATAATTCCTAAGTCCTCTAACTAAAGTACATAGGGAAGTAGGGTCGATCTCCACAGGGAAACAAGTCTTTTTACTCCTAATTAATTATTATAATCTAAATTATTTAAGTAACCAATATTTATAATTGAGTATGAAACTAAACTACAAAGAATATGAATAGGGAGAAAACAATATATAAAAGGATCTAGGGCATAGGTTCACCAATAAATAATACTCCGGGGTAAAACATAGTAATCAATCATTGACATTGCATAAATAACACGATTAACAGGCTCTCGCAATTTATTAGATCTAAGTTCTTATTGAAAATAGCCTTTAATATCAAATTAATCTGCTCGATTCATCAATTTAATATTGCCATACTTTTACAAGCCGCAATTGTAAAACGTTAAAACAATTCAATAAGAAATTATCATGCAATACCAACAATCAATAATAGTCAATCATCAATGCATCAATTAACCAGATTGTAAAGGGCTTTCGCCACGTATTACAATCACACAATTAATTTATAGGTATTAAATCTCATCTCTCGAATCTCGACTTAACCATTTATAAATTAACCTGCCTATTGAAACTAGACCTAAACATCAATTCTCATCTCTCGCATCTTGAATCAATATTGTCAAACTCATGCATAAAAGATAGGTCTAATCTAGTCACAGAGCATTAAATCAATCAATAGGAAATTAATCTAGCATTGATAATCAACAACAATAATTTACCCCTTCATATTATTTATTAGATCCCCATAAACCCTAGAAATTAAACTACTCACAAATCATCATGACTAAACTAATCAAATAAATAAATAAAAGCATAATTAAGGGAGTAAATAAAATAACTGAAATTAAAGGGGAAGAAATTGTTACCAAAAAGTAATCTGGAATTAATGGAAGAATTAAGGACAAAAGTTTAGAGAAAGAATTCTAAGAGAATAATTAAGAGAGTAAAGAAAGTAAAGAGGAGAAGAAGAAGAGGTGAAGAAGAGATGATACTAAAATCGTATTACGGAGGAGTATTTATACTCCGTACAAAATCCTAAATTAAAACAAATTAAAACTACGTTAAACATCAACTAATAAAACACGCGCCCGATCGGGCGAGGCACCGCCCGATCGGGCGCGTCATCGGGCGCCAGACTAAGCTTCTCCCGCCCGGCCGGGCGCGCCTCCGGGCGCCAGCCTTTTTGGCCGGGCGGCTCTCTTGGGCCACTATTTGGACTACGATTGGGCTCCAATTCTTCGGGCCAATCTGGGTTTCCTTTTTGGGTCTTGAATACTCGGTCCAAATACCCCGGTATCACCTATACCGAGCCCTTAATCACCGGTTCGATGGCTCTAACCGACCCTGGGCTATAAGATATGGCCGTGCTTCTCCAATGCTCGTGATTGCTCCAAATATCTTGAGAAAATATTCCAAAAGCATAAATCCCTGCAAAAGTCAACCAAGTCTACGAAAACACTAGAAAACACCAATTAGTAATAAAAGTGGATCTAAAGAGCCAAAAACACTACTAATTATGACCAAGGGACGGGGGTAAAATACTATATAAAATAGACACATCAACAAGCTTTATTCAAACTTTTCTTAGTAGAACTACTACGAAGAGGAGGAATCAACTTAACCACTCTATCCGACGGATGTCCAAGTCTTTTATGCCACAGCTCAAAATCTGACACCGAAGTAGCTTGAACCGTAAATACTGTAGGAATTCGCCGAAAATAGTAGAGTCCCTCCTTTCGTTCACCGGCTCCAATCAGGCTCCCCGAACGTTGGTCCTATATAGCACATAAAGAGTCAGTGAATCGTACAAAACATTTAGAGGAATCAATCATTTTTGACACCGATATTAAATTGCATAGTAAATTAGGAACAAAAAGAACATGCTCCAAAATTATTTTGTCGGTCAAAATGACTCGACCCTCTTTCAAGGCAACAACTTGTTCTCCATTTGGTAGTCCCACGGGGCACGGTAATATCAAACGAGCATCTACCAAGCAAGAATCATTCCCGGTGACATGATGAGATGCCCCCGTATCAATTATCCAATTAGTCACAAGCTCACCTTGCATTCGCTCCTGTTGAAGAGTAGCCATATTCATCAAAACCCGGATATCTTCGGTTTTGAGGTCACTCAAGGACACATTGTCCCCACCTTCGGAGGCTGCCCCTGTCACTACATTGGCGCGAACAGCCGCAGGCTTCCCCGAACCACCATCAGAGGCAGTAGCTTTAGCACGAGCAGAATTACCTCCGGTAGTTCCCTCCTTCTTGCGCTTCAACTCGTACCACCACTCAGGATAACCATGAAGAACAAAACACCCCTCGTTGTCATGTCCTGTTTTCTTGCAATGTGAGCAAAATAGTTTTGATTTATCCCGCCGATCCGAGATTCCCTTCGAGCGAATTGCAGAAACGGCAAACGCGTGAGCATCCTTCACTTGTTCCCTATCAACCCTCCCCTTAACAAATCCGCGCGATTCCTCCTCCTGGAGGAGAGCTTGATATGCGCGGCTTAGATCAACCGGAGGCTGCTGTGATAACAAGTTCGTTCGCACCACAGCATACTTAGAGTCATCAATTCCACATAAAAATTGATGGAGTATCTCCTCCTCCCTGTCTGCTGCAAGTTTACCCGCAACATCACACGAGCACTTCCCGCATTCGCTGCCACGAAGAGGTTTAATTCTGGTCAGATCATCAAACAAGCACATGAGTGTTGTATAATAATCTTTAATCGACATATTTTCAGTTTGCCGACAATCAGTAATCTTCGACCTAAGTTGCTGCAACCTTGGTCCATTAGAGACAAAATACCTCTGTTCTAAATAAGCCTAAAGGCGTTGAGCCTCATCAAAGAAGAGCAGTGATGTCGCGAGTTTAGGTTCCATAGAGCGCAATATCCATGAAACGAGCATTGAATGGGTTGTTTCCCAATCCAATAATTTCTATCTTCTTGTCAGTTGGGTTCGTGATTGTTCCATCGACGAACCCAAATTTTCGACGAGATCGAAGAGACAACATAATTGCCCTCGACCAAGCCAGGTAATTGTCGCCTTTCAAGACCACGTGAGTGATCAAATTTCCCGGTTGATCTTCAGCACCAAGATAGAAAGGAGATGAAGGATCGAGTTTCCTGTCTTCCATGGATGCTCTGTTCCGTGAACAATCGTGGAGAGGAAATCAAAATTCTGTGTTTAGGGTTTGTTTTAAGTTAGGCCTGATACCATGTCAAGAATGTGTATTCTTAGTTTGTATTGATTGTTAATTCGGTATATATATATACAACCTAAGCCAAGGGCCTAAACTTAGCCCGTTAACTAAATACAATAAATTATATACGGGCTTAACATATTCGTACTATATTATTTAAACAAATGTACGATCCTAATTAATTGTATGACATTAATAATTAATAATATAATTATACGAAATCATATGTATATAGTTTATATATACGGAGTATAGATATTAAGTTCAAGTTATTATTAATTCTGCTAGATTAGGCTTTAACTCAACATCGTCCTTTCTAATCACTGAAGAGGAGAGATAAGACCCTGCTTAATCTTACGTTGATCTTGATTTATGAAATGGATTATTGTGAAAATTAAATGTACATTACCGACAGTAGATAAGCTAATTTCTTCCACTTGTGTCATTTCCCCCCTTAATTAGTGGCATCTTTGGTTTTTTTTTTTTTTTTTTTTTTTTTTTTTTTTTTTTTTGTTAAATTAAAATATTTGTGGACCATTTTGACTTAAGTCTTAGCTTGTTTAATGTTTAGTTGTATGTTTACCTCATTTTTCACTTATTTTTAAAAAAAAATAATAAGTTTGAAAATTTCAAATGTTCTGCATGGATTATTAAGGGTTAATTGAGTTCCATATCACAACTATAAAGTTTTAATGAACTAATAATAAGTTTAAATTAGTGAAAATATGATTATTAGAACGAAAGCATCTTAATAGATCGTGAGATTCGATTAACTGATTGAATTTGGATTCCGACTTGTATATTATTAACCAAAAATAGAATATAGCTAGAATTAGAGAGCAACAAGAGTTATGTCATAATTAGTTGAAATATTTCATTCAAATAACAACCATATTGTTTATACAAAAAGTCAAAAAACTAGTGGAGGAAAACTTTAATTTTGCTTTAGATATGCTCTCAAGCAAAGCTTTGAACCAAACACAAAACCGCACTTCTGCAACGAATTGAATTGACATTCCTAGCTTAGTATTCAACTCCATGCATCTCTTCGACGTGATCAGCCGCACTTTAAATTGATTTCATAAATTCATGAAATATATGACAACAATTTATTTGTCCTGTAATAGTAAATGTGCACGTACCATTAAAGTGGTATGAGCAACCCAAATTTTATTGATAACATTTCATTACTAAGTAATTTAAATCCCTTTCCTTAAATTAAAAAAAAAAAAAACAAAAATTAAAAAAATCTTTATTTCGTATTTGATAGAGTAATATTTTATTTTTACAAATTAGTGTATAGATAGATAAAGTCAGATTTAACCTTACATTATTAAAATCGTATACATTATTATTATTCAATTCATATTATATAAACAAATTAAATGAACTAAGGGTCTATTCTCTTCAGCTTAATTTCAGTTCAGTTCAGTGAACTAATGGCTAGCTGCCTATTCTCTTCAGCTTAATTTTAGTTCAGTTCGTTCAGTGAACAACTAAGGGCTGCCTATTCTCTTCAGATTAATTTCAGTTCAGTTCAGCTCCTAATTTCCTTATCTCATAAACAATTTATTTCAGATCTATTCAGTTCAGTTTAGTTTAGTTTAGCTCCAATTAGTTCTCAGTCAGTTAGTCTAGTTTAGCTCGATTCAGTTTAGTAAATCTGAATAAGCCCTAAATATAACCTTACACTATTAAAATCATACTTTCATTCTTCATGAAAAATCCTCCCATCAATTTTGGGCGCACATACTGAGAAACAACAATGTAGTAAATCAAACCGATCACATTCAAGGGTTTGATACGACACCTAAGAACGAATTGTCACACGTCCTAGAGTGGCGAACATTGGCTTGTGAGTTGTGATACCAATCTCGTGAACACTCCTAGTATTATCACCACACATGCATATATGCTTAACACATCATGCCCATAATTTGGTGCCTCTACGAATACTATAATAGGAGCAACAACCTTACCATATAAAGAAGTATGCATGTTTCGTACACCAAGTGGTTGGGAATTAGGACTGCATAAACTGAGGTGTATATATTATTCGAATGAAGTATGAATGTCCTTAAATTAGTGTAAGAACAGATAAAATTATATTTTACTGCAAAGCATATACTCCACTAGTTGAGAGTAGTTAGTGGAGTAATGTCACTATGTCAGAAATTATACTCCCTAAATAGGATTACTATATTAAGTAGGGATAATTAATTAATTAATTATTTTGCATGACTTTTTTCACGTCCCACTAGTTTGATACCCACAAGAATGACATGCCTCATTTTATTGCTTTTTAGGCGTCACGGGGGCATATTCCATTCCATGTATACACAAGGCCATAAGTCCATAACGGCCATTAAGAGTAAAATTTAAGTAATTTAATTATTTGTATTTTGTAACACTAGCTTAGTAGCTTGTAGATGTTGTTAAGTAGATAGGATAATATATTATGTTATCATAAAATAGTATTATGGGAAAAAGATTTCGATGAAAGCTGCACTAATCGCCGCCAGAAAAATGGGTCACGATGGTTGCGATTGTCTGGTGTATTTTAATACTGTTTATAATTCATTTTGGAAATTTCCAAAAAAAAAATAAAAAAATAAATTGGGAGTTTTTAACAATAAGTCTTTTAAAAAGCGCATTATTCAAAAATTTCTAATTCAATAAAAAAAGAACGATTTTGGTGTTCTATAATCCTAAACCTTAAACCTAACCCTAACCATGGCCTAACTAAACCTTGAATTAGCATTAGACCATTAACTTAAAGTAAATCCTAAACCCTTCACTGACCTAGTCACAATTTTTTTTTTTTTTCATAAGGGGTGTATGATAAGTGATTGGAGTCCATTATGGTTTATTTTAACAATTCTTGAAATAATTATGTTTGTGAAGAATTTTGCTATTATTTTGTAAATTTTGAAGTTTCATTGAGTTTGTTAGAACCTACATTATCCTATAGGCTTTAGGGGTTTCAGTTAGGATCTTTATTTATTTGTTTGATTTGGTTATGTTAGGATAAAATTAGTAGTTGGTTATAAATATAATTGTTAATTTGTGAAACAAAATGAATAAGATTTATAATTAAGAAATATTATCTTATTATGAGATAAATTAGGATTTAAATTTTTAGTTAATTTTACTCAGGATTATGATTCTTAGTTTTACATCTCGTCTAATCTTTGTACGAAATTTCATTGTATGTAAAAATATGGGTACATATCAATTAAGGGTCTGTTCTTTTCATATTATTTTAAATTCAGTTCAGTTCTAATAAGTTAAGTTCAGTTTTTAATTTCCTTCTCTCGTAAAATATTCAGTGCAGCTCAATTCAGTTCACTCAATCAAAACAGACCATAAATTTTTAAGAGCGTGTTTTTTTGAAAGGCGGAGTTGGCTTTTAGTTTGTCCGATCACCCACACTTGGCTGATGCTTAGTGTTCCCCTACTAGTTTAATTTTATCAAGATGAATGGGTACCACTGCCAAAATCGCGTACAACTAAGTCTACTAGTACTAGTGCCAACAAGACACTTTTGAGCTGTTATTATATGCCAGTTGGACATCCTATCCACTTGTACTAGTCACTAGCTTTGTCATTAGTCTTAATTACTAATTTTAGTTATCCTGCACAATTAATTAGGTTTCTAATAACCCAGCTTCATAGCTTAATATTTTTTCTTGTACTTTTTATTCATGTTTTGAAATAATTATCTATTCGAATTTTATTTTACACGGAGTATGAAGATACATGTGTTTATATGTACTCTATACAATAACATTACATTTTCTTTTATAATTACTGGAAAAAAAAAAACACCAGGCCAACTTGGGATAATTTGATAGTGCATCACCATAAACACCGCAAATGATCTTTATACTATATTGTATAATTACCATTTATATTAAATAAATATGAATTCATGAGGTACTCGACCTTTCAATAAGCAAAAAAATAAGTTATTTTTTATTGCATGACAATTATCAACCAATATTGTAATCGATCTTCGTTGTCACACGTAATTTTATAATTAACAGGGCGCATATAATTGTCCCTTTTTCATGGGAAGTAAGTAAAGGAGGATGCAAGACGAAGCCGTTAACGAGAAGATTATATAGACTAAAGAGTAAGAAAAGATACGTCCACAATTTTCCATCAAAGTAGTGACGCTATTTGGCGTAAAATTCATAAGTATACGTATACCTTTCAATTGCTTGCATCAATCGATAGACTAGAATACTAAATTAGTGATTAATTAGATTGAATTGTCACCTTTAATGTGTTCTTTTTAATGGAATTTGGCAGCTCAAGATTTATAAAATAATTTCACTTTTTTGCCTTTTTAATTTCGCCGCTCTTAGGAGTCATCTTGGTAATTATTTAAATTAACGGCGTGTTAGACTAATAGAGCACTAAACATCATTATCATTATTAAAGTTTGATTTATATGACGTTTGACCGACAATGTTGTAACGGCATAAGCTCCCTACACTGTTTTTACTGCCTCTGTAAAGTGTAAAGGGCCGTAAAAAAATATCAATGAAATTTTCATCCCAAAAATAAAAAAACAACATTTTTTAAAATTTAATTTAATTTAGTTTACTAGGGAGAAATGTGGTGTGAATAGATTTGGTCGAATTACGATAGCTTAACACTTGTCAAAATAATTGGTGCATGGTCAATGTACCATGTTTAACTTAATACAAGTACTTACTCGTCATTCATCAACAAAAACATGGAGTATGAAAAAGGCTATTTTGATCCAAAAATAGCAATTACGGAGTATGAGTCAAAGCAGAGGGTTTTGGAAAACAATTATTGAGAAAGTTATACTCGTAGTTGCATGCTGTTCACATTCTTATAAGGTTTCGGTTTTTGAACATGTGTACAATTACTATAATCATAGAGAAATGAATGTTTTAAAACCGACTTGAATCAGAAAAATAATCGAATTGTGCTTAATTGCTCCATTACAAGTTTTGTGCAACGATTTGACATACCACAACCACATATAAGCCATTTTAAACTTAGAACTAAAAGGACGACCTCAAAGCCTTAAATCACTCAACTCACCTCGATTTACCGGCTTCATGTTTTCATGTAAAACAACATTTTCGACTTTCCAAATCC